CCCTTGATTTTTTTGGATTCTACTGCATGCTTAAGTCTACCTCTCACATTTTTTGTTATATGATGAAGGTGAGAAAAATACACAAGAATGAGGTTGTATTGTTTTATTCGTTTTCTTTAGTTTGCTTCTGAACATAGTTCGGATTCTAAACCACTATTCATATTATGATAATTAATTGCAGCGAAATAATAACAGAAGCAAATAAATAAAAACAAAACACTCATAGATTTATACTGGTTCCCCTCAAGCTGAGAATAGTCCAGTCCCCTTGCAGCAAGAGATTTTTCACTATAATCAAATCATGATTACAATTGCTTATGCCATCAGCACAAGACTTTACTACTCAGACCCTTAGCCCGAGACTTCCTACTTAGACCCTCATTCCAAGATTTCCTGCTTAAACCCCCTAGGTTCAAGACTTTCTTGCTCAAGCCCCTCGGACTCAAGACTTCTGTTCAGACTCTCAGTCCAAGACTTCCCTGCTTAAAATTCACGAATCCGAGACTTTTGCTCAAATTCCACGAATTCAAGACTTCTCTCACATCCTTCAGGTACAAGACTTCCTTGCTTAGATTTCACGAATCCAAGACTTCTGCTCAATCAACAATTGATTAAGACTTCAATGCTCTAGCACATAGCAGGAGACTTACTTGGCTCAAGCTTCACAACAAGAGACTTTGATGCTCAAGCACATAGAGAGAGAGAGAGAGAGAGAGAGAGAGAGAGAGAGAGAGAGAGAGAGAGAGAGAGACTTTATCTAAATTACTAAACAACTTGTTTAGCATAATAGAGAACAAGGTGTACTTGATACATAATCAGATGGACAAAGCAATAACCATAACAAAGATCACAACACTTAAGATTTATAAGATATTCAATGTTTAAGAAATATTAAGGCTTTGTACAATTTACAACATATAACAGAAACTCGGCATACTCGATTGTGTGGCTATTGTTGATCTTGTTATTCTTCCATTCTTATAGAAGCAAGGAACACTTCTATCCTTCTTGGATCTTCATCTTTTTCTCTCCTTGTTCCTTGTTGAAAATCCATGTTGAATCTTCAGCTACTTATAGTAGTTTCAGAGGAATAGTTGTTGGAAGAGATAAATTGTACAAGTATCTTTGTTACTTTATAGTACAAGAGACGTTGAAGATAGACACACTAAAAATCTTGATCCATTATGTAATTTGTTTAACCATTGCGTCTTACTTGTGATCTTGTACTATAGATCCGTTGAGAATAGATATTTGTAAAGCATGTCAACTCTTCTTGAGCCATGTGAACACAGACTCTAGTTGACAGTAGATTTGACAATGTAGCTTGCTTTCTACAGTACGGGTAACTTTAGCTTTATCATTGGTTCTGAATTATCACCAGAAGCTGATACGTTTAATAAGCTTAGGGACAATATATTTCTCTTTTGATGCTAAGGCCTTCAACTTCAGAGTCTACGCAAACCTATATTATCAGTCTTTATTTAAAGAACGTTCTTCAGATTCTGAGCCACCAGAAGCCAATAACTTGCCTTCTCTCAAGTGTGTCCTTATATCAGATTTTGATTGTATTCTTCTTTAAGCTTTAGAACCTGCACGGTTAGATCACACATTAGATAACGCCATTGTTCTTTCAATATTTTGTTATCATCAAAATCCAAAGGATATATGTCATGAATAAATCTTGTTCTAACATATGATACCTACACGGTAAAGCATATGATGTATGAAACACCTTTCCAAACGAATTCATCAATGTGGTATCGCGATCATTGATAATCACATGTAGCATATTTTCTTGGTCTTTCAACATAGTCTGACACATTTCCAAAACCCACGTAAAATTGTCCTATTTTTTCACTTTTCAAAAATGCAAACCCAACTGGAAAAAAAATCATATTTTGTAGAAGTAACACCAACAATTTCTAGAGGTGGTAGCTTGCACTTATTAGTCTTATATGTTTAATCAATTATGAAAACAGTGGAAACATTGTTGAACAACTTGATGGAATCAGGATGAGTCCAAAATATATCTCGAACGATTTTTCCATCCTCACAAACTTTGTACCTAGATACATAATAATCATCATCCAAAAGCTTCAACATCTGTTGCATTTCGGATCTTAGACATCTTTTTTCCTTATTGTTTTGTGTGGGAACATTGCGCACTTGCCTAATATTTGAGGAACTTTCAAGTCTTTTCCTTTTCAAAGTTGATAGTATGCTTTTGGGTTGAACCATGTTCAATGTCTTGTCAGAGACAAGTTTCTTCTCTACTAAATTCAAACGACATACAACAGGGTGATCAGGTAACTTGTAAAACAAATCATGGTTATGCATACCACAAATCACATTAAAAGCCCATGTATTATTAACCTTGAGGTACCCACGCAACTTATAAGGACACTTGCATTTTCTCGTTCTTGTGTCATCGTGTTTCAACTTTCGGATTAGTGTTTTATACTTCCCACTTCTTTCACATCTTATCGTCGCAAATGTGGATCTTCTATCAAAAACAGAATTCGCCCTCCAGATTACAATGTTGAACCCTAGTTTCGCAGCCTCCGTGCAAACTCATTGAAGCATATGTTCATGTATAGCAAATTCATGTTTATTTTTAAATTATTTTCCAACATATATAAGATCACCCGATTTAACATCCATAGATAGAATAGTGTTGGAGACAACATCATGAACAATAACAAGGTGCACCATAACTACAACCAATCATAACGGAAGCAAATTCAAATTCCTTAACAAAACAGTCTAGATTTCGCTTTCTCGACACAATATGAACATAATCTGGATTTTGAAATTCAAACGCAACATTCATTTTTTAGCTCGAAAAACCAAATGATCTAACACAATGAGCAATGTAATACGTGTACATTACCTGAAATTTTAACTTCTTTTGTTTCCTTTGATACCAAAATATAGAGAAAAATATTGTTTTGAAATGAAAATTGAGTGACAATGGAAAGAGATTTTTGTAGAGTTTTTGAAAATAAGGTGTTTTGATGTCAAACTTGAAGAGATGTATACATCAAGGTGACAACCAAATTTGTTTTTCCGCTTGAATTTTCCAAGATTGGATTTCAGATGGAGTCCGAAGAATATGCTCCGAACCAATTTTTTAACAAAAATGAAGTACATCAATCTTGAAGTAATTTTGTTGAAGACTAAACGCGTACGGATTTTGAAATCCAAAATATAAAAACGACATTTTGGAGTTTTCTTAGGTGTCTGATCAACACCCTAATATTATGGCCACATGTTCAATGTAGATCTCAACGTAAACAAAGCAAAATAAAAAAAACAACTGTACTCAACACTAAATTTGTGTAAATGAAAATGTGCAGCTCCTTCTTTGTTTATCAATTGCACCTATTCAGTGCTTACCTACAACAGATACAAAAACACTTCATATTTAGTTCAGAGCTCGGTACCCATAACCAGTCTAAAAAAGCAGAAAAGTAACAAACAAGTTGCCACTTTATGACTACATCAGGGTCGTTAAAATGACTTGGTAGTTTGGGGGACAAACATAGAGACTAGAATGATGTTAGTCATTCACAAAAAGTTACCTTCTTATCAACATAGTCAACCCGTCAGCCAAAATCTGACCCGAGCTCTATCGAGTAAAGACCAGAAGGTAACATGGGTCAAGCCCCCCTCTTTATACTTGTAATTGATACCATTTTCTCTTTGAACAAGAGAACTCAGACCCTCATCCCAAATGAGCACCCCGGTAATCCGATAGAACCAACTCATCCACTATTGCTTAGTTTGTGAAAGAATGACAGTCAGCAGAAGAGCAAGAGGATCACGAAAAGCTCAAGAAACAAAAACTACTATGACAATGAAGTGATTTGCCGACAGTTTACTATTGTCAATTAACAGTGAAATTTTGAAATATCAGAGTTGAAAAATGAAATGGAATGTCTACGAAAGCAAGAACAATTTTTGGGACGGCAAAGTAAGGTGTCTTGAAAAGAAAGCTAAACCCACTAAAGCTATATGGCCAATGGTATAAGCTACGAATTTGGGACGGCAAGAAAAAAGATAAAAGAAACTTCTTTCATGATTTTATGCAGCTTAGTTGAACTGTCTGTCATACAAATAACAGTAATTTGAGATTGAGAGACAGAACCTGGAGATCCTGACTAGTACTGCATGTCCCTTTCTGCAACTCAACCTCCACTGTTTCGATAACAATAACACTACAGCATAACTTAGAGTATCTATTGCAAATAGGTGAGTGAATATGTTCATCCGACAAAATAATGATTGTAGAATAACTGAGATTCCTAAGTATGTTAGATCCTGGATTCCATTTTGCAACAGAGTTTATTCGGTTGAAGCTGTGATACTGGACAGAATTATAAGACACTTTCCATCACTGACAAGCAAGAAACAATATTTGGAGCAACCAATATTCGATACACTGATGTTAAGCATATATGTACCCTTGATCCTACTGACACCGTCTTCTATGCAACAAATGCTCATGGCAAAAATTAAGTACACTGAAAATTTTATAAGTTGGGGGAAACCAGCAACAGAGTTATTGGTCACGGATATTGTCAAACAGGGGTATTGTATTGGATCAACCTCGATACACATCTGAGAACATTCATTCAACACGACCAAATCTCATAATCGGCATATAATTCACTCAAATTTCTTATAATGAGATTGACACCGATAAAGTGTGATTTTCATAGACATGCCTAGATCTTATAAAATTAATATTATTATTGAACAAAAACTATATCATTATTAATAAACTCAAATTTGTGAATGGTGCAATCAACAGAATCAACTAATCCTACAAAAACAACTGTAATTTTACAAGAAACGTAAATATTTGAATATGGCAATCAACCTAATCAACTAGTCCTAACCAAAACCTTCGACATCAAACACTAGGCCAATCGATATTTAATTCACAACAAAATAACCTAAATTTCATTCTAAGTTTCAACGGCAAAGACTAACACACACTAATCTGATGATTCTGAGTCAGAATTCTCCGTACCAGAATCGTCCTCCTGCTCCGAAGAAGCTTCTTCTTGCTCCTTAGAAGCCACATCCGCGAAGAGTTCCAGCGCCTCTATAGCTTTCTTCCTAGCCCCCACCGCAACCATAGCTCGCCTCTCAGCATCCAACCGAATCGCAACCGCCGCTCTGGTCAAAGTATTAGCAGAAATCTGAGCAGCAGCAGCGAGCACCTTATTGGCATGAAAATCAATACCTCTCCTATCAATCTTGAAGTAAAAGAAATTCGGATCGGCGCAAGGCGGGCAGAGGAAAGCGAAATCAGGCGTTGACGAAGGAAGAACACAAGATCGGTGAGCGATTGAGGGGCAACGGATACACATGAGGTGAAGGTTAGGGATAAAGGAATCGTTGAAGAGTTCGAAGCAGATAGGGCAGAAAGTGCCTTGTTGTTGCTTGAGGACGCAGTTGGTGCAGAAGCGACGGTTGATGGCTCTGTAGCTGATTGTGTGGAGGAAGAGAGGGGTGGTTGGGGTGACGCCGCAACAGTCGCATGCCTCCGAGGAGTGAAATGGATTCATCGGAATGGCATTGATGGAGGGTGAGAGGCTCCGTATGTGGGCAGGGGTAACGGTAACCCTAGAAATGAAGTCGAAGTGAAGAACAGGGAAGTGTAAGTAGGAAAATATTGGTGGGAACGGATCACCATATTTTGTCTTTAATATGCACGTGTTGTATTTTTCATTTGAATTGGCTGTATTTTTTTTTTTTTTTTTTTGGGTACAATTGAAAAAAGCAAAACAAAAAAATTAAAAATTATCTAAAAAATAAAGAGTAATGATTCTTCCCGAAGATTCTGCAAAAGATAGTTACGATGAATCATTAGCAGGTTTCATGTTTTGTTAGATAATCAGCACAAGCATTAAACTCTCTAAGAGTATAAAATATTTGAACTCGATGTTCCTTAGTGTGAAGCTTTTTAATGTTATGTAGAATTGTGACACAATGATGTAAAACATTAACCGATTTTGAGATAAGTTTGATAATAGAGTTAAAGTTTGAATAACACATCAAGTCTTCAATGTCAAGTTCTCATATCATACACAAACCATGATATAGCGTTATCAGCTCAGCGTGAAGGATGTTAGAAAAACTAATATTACCCGCAAAATCGTGAATTCAAGCATCATTAGTGTTTTGAATCATTCCACTAAAACCCGAGAAGTCGAGATTACTGAGGTTACTGCCATTAATATTCAAAATCATATTACTACCTTTGTATGCATTTCACGTGATCTTTCTTGTTGGATGAGACAAACTATGCTTGAGAAAATATTTAGTTGACAAATTAGCATAATTTACTATAATGAGTATGGGTGGCAAAACGGGTCCAACCCCTTGAGCATGCCCATTTTTTCTGCACTTTAGTGCGGAGCGGGCCAAGGTTTTAACCCCTCTCCCTCTAATGTGATCACCCCGCCCCGCTCACCCCGTTTTTTGGCAAGTTTTTGCGGGTGTGGGCATTAACATAATTTTATTTATTTTATAGGCTTAAAAAGTGTAGTACTTATGGGCCTGCTCTGCCCCGCCCCGCCCCACCTTCACTTTAGCGCGAGACAGGTTAAGATTTTAGGCTCACATCCTCAACTATACCCGCCCCGCTTCGTTTTTTTGTGTGAACTTTTACGAGGGCAGGCATGCTCGTTTGTCACCCTTAATAATGAGTTTCAAAGTATAAGAAGATATCACTTTATTAGCAAGACACAATTTGTTCCTAGAGCGTCACTACCACCAGCAAGCAGCCAAAAAGATAGAACCACCATCAATGTCATGTCTAATCCAATCATATAAAGTATCCGCTTTGAAGAATAATGGTCCAATAAGCTAATATATTTTCAAAAGCGAGTAGCAAATTCACAGTCTCTTAAGCAGTGTATAGTCCTCTCAACGTCCAGATTGCATATAGGACAAAGATCCGTCTAGAGCATGCTACGATGACACAATTTCGATCTCGTAGAAAGGGACTTATGAAAAGATGTCCAAAGGAAGAACATTAAATCTATTGAGCCAATTATAACCATCCTGGGTAGTATAAATACCATCTAAATTGTCTTTCTAGGTTAACCAATCAAGCACCATAGAGTTCAAACAAATGGGGAGCGCTTTTAGGCGATCACAAACACCTAGACGAATATAGTATATAATGAATTGAAGTTCCAATTTACATCCAAGCAAACATCATTCATTCGCATTTTTAGATCGTGGATATCCACATATAAAACTTGCTACACTAATTTCCCTACCTCAACCCAATTGGTAAACAAGAAAGAGGAATTCTCATCCCTTAATCTGAATTCCAAGTCATCTTTAAGAGCATATAGAGTTTTCATAATTGCATTATAAGTAACTAATTCAAGTTTCTCTTTTAGATTAAGGAACGTTTCTTCACTAATGTACTTATGCTTCAAAACTTGAACTCATAGGGAATCACAATCCAGTGGAGACCCAAAACTAGCTTTTCCAACATAGAAGTTTGGCCTATCTTGCTTTCCGGATCCCAAGACCACCCAGTTTTTTGGCCTTAATGATTTTATTCCATCTAACGAGATGCACACCATAGTTTGAATTACCTTTCCACCAAAAATTTCTAGTCATCCTATCAATAAAATCACAACTTAACTAAGGTAGCCAATTCATTTGCATATAATTTGGATTGGAGTTAAAGACATACCTAACCGGAGTCAAACGACCAACCTTGTTTAACAATTTATGTTGCAAATATGCTAACCTATGACTGATTTTCTCCTCTAAAAACTTAAATTCCTTGCATTGAAGATGACCATACAACATAGGGAAGCCAGACTCTTTCTCTAGAGTAAAACTTCGCCTGATAATTGTGCTGGAGACAATTGAATCCATTTTACTCTTCTTTGTGGTAGTTGTAATAGCCCAATTTTTAATAATTAGTTATTTCTACTAATTAATTGATTTATTTGGATTATTTTAATTATTTGAATTATTGGGTGATTATTATTTTATTTGTGGAATTAATGTGTTAATATGTTATGTTTGCATATTATGCTATTTTATCATTTGGAGTTTTGGGAAATTAAGTTGGAGAGTATTTTAGATATTTCTCAATTAATGATAAGATAATATATTTTGTGAGAAAATGATTTAGTAGATGTTTGGAGGGAAATAAAATAGAAAGAGATATAAGTGGAAAGAGGGAGAAAAGAAAAGGATAGAAATAGAAAGAAAGGAAAAAGAAGAGAAAGATAGAGGAAGAAGAAGGAAGGAGAGAAAGAGAGGAAAACTTGGAGAATCATCAAGAGCAATCTCTAGGATTCGATTAATCAAGTAAGGGTGTGAAATCTTATTATTCTATCAATGTGTGTGATTATGTATGTGTGGTTTGGATTGTTTGGATGTTTTCCATCTTTTCCCATTCTAGGTCAGAAATGGTTTAATCGGTAGGAATCGATGATTTAACGGTTAGAATCTGAAATTAATGGTGTAGTTTAGTCGAGGAATGTTAGGCTAAGACCACTGGAACTTGTTGGAATTGAATCGGGTGATTTCGGGAGTTTCTGAGGTTTTGGACAGTTGGGGTTTTGGAGTACGCAGACGCTCGCTAGCACGTTCGCTAGGCGAGCAGGGTGGCGAGTGTTCGCTAAGCGAGTTGGTAGTGAGTTGCTAGCGAACGTCCCCAGACTTGGGCAGAATGGAAATGATCCTTTTCGCTAGTAGAGAGTGATGTAGCGAGTTGTTCGCTAGGCGAGGCTCCAGCGAGGCAGTAGCGAATCCTTCCAGTAGCTTCTGTTTGTCTTCGCTAGGCGAACCAGCAGCGAGTGTTCGCTAGGACCTCGATAGGCGAGTGGTCCAGCAAGCGTGACAGTGTTTGATTTTCTTGCTGTTTCCATCCAATGTCGATTCTTCGATTCGAATGTGATTAGCCCTTTCTCTTAAGGCATAATTATATGTTGTGATATGTTATGATGTGGGTAGCCGTATGGCGTGAATCCTAGATTGTGGAATCGAATGTGAAATATGGCCTTTTGGCAAATATATACATTGTTTAAATTGATTAAAAGTGTATGATGATTGTGATGAAGTTCGTTGCCGTTTGGCGCGATAATGTGAATGCATATTGATTGTATGTGAAGAATTCATGAATATGTATTTGTGATTGAATCTATTTTATTCTTGTGTACTACTTGATGAATGTAGTGATGATGTTGAAAGTATGAATACTTTGATGAATGTGTTGTGTGTGCAATCATGTTATAATTCTTGTGTGATGAATTATTTGAGTATGCATGGGATTAAGATGCGAGAACGGTCTTAAGTGCATATGATTATTGATTACATACGCATCATTTGTTGTCAAGAGGCAATGCTTGCTAGTTTCGTGGAGACTAGTGACTTGTCCCAAACCTAGAAGGGTGGGTTTGAAAGCTTAGGGAATGGGCTTTTGTTGTTATCGGTCTAGGGAACAGACCCAGTTTAAATGTAAAAACCGAAAAATAATAACAAGTGTTAGTACCACATGGCATGAGTTACATTGAGTCACGTGGCATAGATATAATGGTTGTATGAAGGTATGCATATGTGTATGAATTGTTGAATTGCGGGTTGTGAATGTGTAATTGTGAATGATATTGACTGATGAATTGATGAATAAACATGATTGTATATGTTTATATGAATTGTAGTGAATAAAACATAATGTGTATGTTTATGTGGATTGATTGAAATTGTGGAAGTGTGCATGATGTTATGCTTGGATTATATATATATATATATATATATATATATATATATATATATATATATATATATATATATATATATATATATATATATATATATATATATATATATATATGTTGGAATTATATTGGGAATTAGAAAGATTTATTGACAATTAATGGGCAATAAATGAACACAAGTAAGAACTAATATAGAAGTGAATTTGAAAAGATTCATTTTAGTCTCACATTGAAGGGAATGGAAATATTAGTAGTGTTTATATATTCCAACTTGGTCAATTTGGTTGGGCCCTAAAGGGCACCCAATTTTGTGAAAGGAGTGAGGACACACCCATGACCATCAAAACACACGCGCGCGCGCCGCCGTTCGTCCGGCCGGCCGGCTCGGCTCGGTCCGGTCCGGTCTAGATGAATTATTTTTTGGACCCGAATTTATAGAATCTAATTATCATTAATTAATTAATATAATTCGGTGGAAAATTAATTAATAATAATAATTAATTAAGAAAATAATTGGTCAGTAACTGTCATACTGACTAGAGCGAATTATCAGTTTGCAACTGATAATCGTAAGGTTTTGAACGGGCTGTTTCATCCTGGAGGCGTCGTCGTAAATCGACTGCCTTGCATATTTTGACAGTACGGCAAAACGTCTTAAAGAAAGCGACCTAGTACGCGACTCGTCCCGATAATTTCCTTGTGCCAAACTCAAATTTTCAAATCCGAAAACAACAATTTTAAGACGTTTTAATAACTGCCATGGCAACTGAGGAAATTATCGGTACTACTGCGACCGCTTCGGTCTCTGA